CTGTACTCCCTGTTCACCCATGACTGCATGGCCAGGCACGACTCCAACACCATCATTAAGTTTGCCGACGACACAACAGTGGTAGGCCTGATCTCCGATAACGATGAGACAGCCTATAGGGAGGAGGTCAGAGACCTGGCCGTGTGGTGCCAGGATAACAACCTCTCCCTCAACGTGACCAAGACAAAGGAGATGATTGTGGACTACAGGAAAAAAAAGAGGACTGAGCACGCCCCCATTCTCATCGACGGGGCTGTAGTGGAACAGGTTGAGAGCTTCAAGTTCCTTGGTGTCCACATCACCAACGAACTATCATGGTCCAAACACACCAAGACAGTCGTGAAGAGGGCACGACAAAGCCTATTCCCCCTCGGGAGACTGAAAAGATTTGGCATGGGTTCTCAGATCCTCAAAAAATTATACAGCTGCACCATCGAGAGCATCCTGACTGGTTGAATCACCGCCTGGTATGGCAACTGCTTGGCCTCCGACCGCAAGGCACTACAGAGGGTAGTGCGTACGGCCCAGTACATCACTGGGGCCAAGCTTCCTGCCATCCAGGACCTCTATACCAGGCGGTGTCAGAGGAAGGCCCTCAAAATTGTCAAAGACTCCAGCCACCCTAGTCATAGACTGTTCTCTCTGCTACTGCACGGCAAGCGGTACCGGAGTGCCAAGTCTAGGTCCAAAAGACTCCTCAACAGCTTCTACCCCCAAGCCATAAGACTCCTGAACAGCTAATCATGGCTACCCGGACTATTTGCACTGCCCCACCACCCTATCCTTTTACGCTGCTGCTACTCTGTTAATTATTTATGCATAGTCACTTTAACTCTACCCATATGTACATATTACTTCAACTACCTCAACTAGCCGATGCCCCCGCACATTGACTCTGCACCGGTACCCCCCTGTATATATAGCCTCCCTACCGTTATTTTATTTTACTTCTGCTCTTTTTTTCTCAACACTTTTTTTGTTGTTGTTTTATTTTTACTTTTTTGTTAAAAATAAATGCACTGTTGGTTAAGGGCTGTAAGTAAGCATTTCACTGTAATGTCTGCACCTGTTGTATTCGGCACATGTGGCCAATAAAATTTGATTTGATTTGATTTGAAACACCCCCCTGCAACTAATAAGCAACTAATCTGCAACTTGGTTCCAGTTGAAACCTTTCAACTTTGTGCAACTAGTTGCAAGCAACAGCCAATCAAAACAAATGCTTTTGTCACATGATCCATTCGAAGGTTCGGACACAGATAGAACAAGGAGCCAGATATTTCACCGCATGTATAATCTGAAGCGTCCGGTTGGAATTTCCACTACCCACCAAATATGGTGATGAGAGGAAGCCCCATGGCCGGCAGTGGGAGAAGATGGAGCTAGATAAAACTGAGCCTACATTCTGCTGAGTTTGTCATCGAAGAAAAGCCCGATCTCAATACAGTTTTCTGTTCCCAAAGCTAGAATCTGTTATGAACAGAGTGCACTAAGTTCTGTAGACGTGACTCTTTATCGAAGTCTCAATTATTATTTTTTACAAGGAGTGCAAGGGCGAATTGAGTTGTTGCACACTCGCACTTCACAGAGAAGGTGTTTCTTAACGGAAATATGCAAATACATGCTAGAACTCGCCAATAGGATCTTGCTAGCTCGTGCCTGGCTCTGCCCACCTCCTTGCTTGTTCTGCCCACTATGCTTAATTTGCTCCCATTGAAAATGACACAGATTAACTATCTTGGGTTCGTTATAAATATCTTTGGGTCAGAACTCCTGCCCAGTTGCCATGTCAACAACACAGCTGCCAGTGCTGTGGGAGCCGTGATGAAGGTGGACAGAAGAGAGATTTGCTAAACGGGAGCTGTATAAATAAATATTGGCATCAAGGCTAGTAAAGGTTTATGTACATGGTTTGGTAGCCAATAAATGTAATTTCTGAAGTGAACTCAGGCCTCTTTCTGACCAGTTTCAACTGAAATTGTTCAATATGAACTGCACCACTAGCTAGCTAGCTTAGTTTGTTGCTAGCTTGGTTAGCTTGATAAAAACAGTGCTGGCAATTTCATTTTCGCTTGCTAGCGAAATTGTACAGTCAGAATGTTGTCTAAATCGATCCTTATACAATAACTAAATGGTTGGATAAACAATTACATTTGTGAAATCACAATTTAATGCAGCAGATGACATTGGGTGGGTTTAGAATTCCCAAACCATGTGGAATGATATGACAAAACAAAAGCAGCTTCAATTTGATTGGCTGTTGCATGCAATTTCAGTTACGTTTGAGTTGCTTCGAGTATCAGCAAAGTTGCTTGAAAGGATGTCACTTACAACCTGCAACTGCAACAAAGAATTGTGTGAAAGTTGCGTCGTGTAACTCCAGCCTACGAGTGAGTAGGCCCGGTTGTACCTGAGAGATGGAGTGTGTTGGACTCTAACTACTGTATGATGATGAGCAGGCTAATACCTGTTGGATCCTCAGCTGACAGGCGGCCAGCTCCTGGTCATTCTCGTCCATCTTCTGGTTGCTCTCTGACTGGGTGCTCTCCAGCTGCCTACAGCGTTTCACCATGGTCTTCACCTCCGACTTCATCTTACTGATGTACAGACGAGCCACCGTGAACTCCTCGTCTATCAGACCACTGCCCTCGTGTTGCTGGGAGGAAGAGACGGGGAGGGAGGGAGGGGGAGAGAGAGAGAGATAGATAGAGAGAGAGAGGAGAGAGAGAGAGAGAGAGGGAGGGAGATACATAGAGAGACAGAGAGGTAGAAAGAGAGAAGGGCAGGTTATCATTTTATTCAGGTTAAGGGGAAACAGATATTACACATTTCCTTTAGTTGCTTATAAAATAATACCCATCTTTTGGAGTGTCATGTGGTGACGTGTCATTTCCTGTTTACCTTGATGTCGTTGCTGCCCACGGCGATGCCAATCTCTGCCAGGTCTTTGAGTAGTGATGACATCATCTCACTGGTCCTCTTCTTCTGGTGGTTGGTCATCTCCTTCAGTTTCTGCAGCTCAGAGTCAATGGACGTCAGGACGTTCTGGAGAGAGAGAGTAAAACATTTTAATATTAGCATTTCCTAAATATTATGGACAAAAAAAGAGGTATGACTGACTTATACTGAAGCAACCAGGAAAAAACGTATAACAATATGAAGAGACAGCTCTCTTCATGAGAAGGGACAGTGAGGGACATTGTCTCACCGATTTCTGGTTGAGTTCTTCGTTGAGCATCTCAAACTCTGTGGTCTTTTCCTCCACCTCCTGGCTCTTCTGGTCGTAGTTAACAGCCAGCTCTTCCAGGGCCTGCAGCACCTCCTTCACCTACAATACCACAACAACATTAATAGTAACATTAATAATAATAACAATAATAATAGTAATAATAACAATAACAATAATATTATCCTTCACCTCATCCTTGGAAGCCTCGTTCTCAGCCTGCAGGCGGTTCAGCTCTGACTGCAGGTTGTCATGGTCGCGTCGCGATGACACCAGCAGCTACACACACACACACACGAAAAGTCAGACATATACACTACCAGTCAAACGTTTGGACACACCTACTCATTCAAGGGTTTTTCTGTATTTTTACAATTTTTTACATTGTAGAATAATAGTGAAGACATCAAAACTATGAAATAACACATATGGAATCATGTAGTAACCAAAAAAGTGTTAAACAAATCAAAATATATTTTATATTTGAGATTCTTCAATAGCCACCCTTTGCCTTGATGACAGCTTTGCACACTCTTGGAATTCTCTCAAACCAGCTTCAACTGGAATGCTTTTCCAACAGTCTTGAAGGAATTCCCACATATGCTGAGCACTTGTTGGCTGCTTTTCCATATGTGTTATTTCATAGTTTTGATGTCTTCACTATTATTCTACAATGTAGAAAATTGTAAAAATAAAGAAAAACCCTTGAATGAGTAGGTGTGTCCAAACGTTTGACTGGTACTGTAGCTAGATAGAAAGATAATTTAGCTAATATACAGTTTGATTAGTTTGATTGAGGTCCAATAGTCTTTAACCAGAATTACAGTGACAACAAGATGACAGCAGCCCAGCCAACACTCACCTCCTCTTGGTCCAACATCTGCTGCTTGAGCTTCTCAGCCAGCTGGCTCTGCTGGTTGATCTCATCATCCTGGGACACACAGAGAGAAAGGACAGGGTTAGCATTATCATCATTCAAACAAACACACACAGACAAACAACACATGCTCCAACATGGGTCAAACTGGACATGAAACTACACTACATGACCAAAAGGTATGTGGACACCTGCTCGTCGAACATCTCATTCCAAAATCATGGGCACTAATATGGAGTTGGTCCCCCCTTTGCTGCTATAACAGCCTCCACTCTTCTGGGAAGGCTTTCCACTAGATGTTGGAACATTGCTGCGGGGGACTTGCTTCCATTCAGCCACAAGAGCATTAGTGAGGTCGGGCACTGATGTTGTACAATTAGGCCTGGCTCGCAGTCGGCGTTCCAATTCATCCCAAAGGTATTCAATGGGGTTGAGGTCAGGGCTCTGTGCAGGCCAGTCAAGTTCTTCCACACCGATCTCGACAAACCATTTCTGTATGGACGTCACTTTCTGCACAGGGGCATTGTCATGCTGAAACAGAAAAGGGCCTTCACCCAAACAGTTGCCACAAAGTTGGGAGAACAGAATCGTATAGAATGTCATTGTATACTGTAGCGTTAAGATTTCCTTTCACTGGAACGAAGGGGCCTAGCCCGAACCATGAAAAACAGCCCCAGACCATTATTCCTCCTCCACCAAACTTTACAGTTGGCACTATGCATTGGGGCAGGTAGCATTCTCCTGGCATCCGCCAAACTCAGATTCGTCCGTCGGACTGCCAGATGGTGATTCATCACTCCAGTGAACGCATTTCCACTGCTCCAGAGTCCAATGGCGGCGACCTTTACACCACTCCAGCCGCCGCTTTGCATTGCACATGGTGATCTTAGGCTTGTGTTAGGCAGTTAGGCCTTGGAAATCCATTTCATGAAGCTCCCGACAAACAGTTATTGTGCTGACGTTGCTTCCAGAGGCAGTTTGGAACTCGGTAGTGAGTGTTGCAACCGAGGACAGACGATTTTTACACGCTTTAGCACTCTGCGGTCCCGTTCTGTGAGCTTGTGTGGCCTAACACTTCGCGGCTGAGCCGTTGTTGCTCCTAGACGTTTCCACTTCACAATAACAGTTGACCGGGGCAGCTCTAGCAGGGCAGAAATCTGAATAACTGACTTGTTGGAAAGTTGGCATTCTATGACGGTGACACCGTCATAAGGCCATTCTACTGCCAATGTTTGTCTATGGAGATTGCATGGCGGTGTGCTCGATTTTATACACCTGTCAGCAACGGGTGTGGCTGAAATAGCCGAATCCACTAATTTGAAGGGGTGTCCACATACTCGTATATTAGTGTATCTTGATGGATTGTTGTTCAACAACACACACCTGCATCATGTCCAGTTTGACACATGTTGGAGCGTGTGAGTGTCTTACTCAGCTCTTTCCCTTCAACTCATTAGTTGCATCCTAAATGGCACCCTATTCCCTATGGGTCCTGTTTAAAAGTAGTACACAATATAGGGAATAAGGTGCCATTTGGGACGTAGACATTGGCTGTTGCTACTTCCTGCTGGAGGCTGTATCTCTCACCTTATCGTCCAGCTGCTTGCAGAGCTTGGCCAGCTCCCCTTCACACTTGTCCTTCTCAACACACACGCACACACATTCTGTGGCCGGTCTCTCTCACCTTATCGTCCAGCTGCTTGTAAAGCTTGGCCAGCTCCCCTTCACACTTGTCCTTCTCTGCGTCGGTCAGACGGAGCTGGGGCATGTTGGGGGTAGAGGCAGGCTTGTCGTTGGGCACATTGTCCAGGGCCAGCACCTCAGCCTGGGCCTTCTCCTTGTCAAACTGCTCGTCCACCGGCACACTCTCACCTGCAGGGGGCAGCGTGGCGGTCACACAGATAGGTCAGTCACACAGCGTGCAAGGCTCTCTTCTCATCACATAATGGTCTCATCTGAGCGTCTGGCTTCAATCACTGGAACCCCCCACAAATTCATTCATCATATAGATTACTGAAATGTCCCCCCTCTCAAAAAAACAACACAAACACAGATCATGGAAACAGGGAGGTAGTATCTGTACTTAATAAGAAACACTTATTTTCGTTTTCTATTGCAAACCGTTTTAAATATTTTTGCTAAGTTGTGTCCTAATGAACATGACCTTGCTGTTCTACTACGTCTGTGCTGTACAGGAAAGATGAGGGCCTAGCCAGCTGATAACTTTGGGCCTAGGGGAATTAGGGGAAGGTCCTCTCCTCCTCACCGTTCCTCCAGCGGTTGAGCTCATTCTCCAGCCAGGTGATGGTGTTCCTCAGGGCCTTTCCCTTCTCCTTCTCCCTCTCATACTTCTTCTTCCACTGTTCTGCCGTCAGCTCCACGTTCACACACACCGTGTTCTTAATGGTCTTCGCTCTGGAAAACACCACAAACAGGACCAAACCATTACACCCTATTCTAATTCAAACAGCCCTGAATAGCTCACAAAATAGTGATTGTGGTAACTCATTGTGAATTGTTGATGGGTTTTTTTTCTTCATATGATGTAAAACTCATCATCATCACACGTTTTGCTCTGTATTGAAAGTGCTCCGTCTTGACAACGTGACTGCTGACATGCATACTTGGGGGATTGTATTAACAGTGGACTACTACAAATATATATTTTTGTGAACTATCCTTTTAGGAGCTAGTGAGTGAGCCCACCTCTGTCCAAACATGAGGGTGGACTTTGTCTCTGACTCGTTGTAGGCAGAAGGAGAGGCACAGATGACAATGGTGGTCCTACAGTTACCCCCCAGAGAGTCCTGAAGGATTCTGGTCATTTTACTGTCTCTGTACGGGATATAGCCCTGAAACATAGCAAAACAAAACAACATTCATTAAGATATAGCCCTGAAACATAGCAAAGCAAACAACATTCATTAAGATATAGCCCTGAAACATAGCAAAACAAAACAACATTCATTAAGATATAGCCCTGAAACATAGCAAAGCAAAACAACATTCATTAAGATATAGCCCTGAAACATAGCAAAGCAAAACAACATTCATTAAGATATAGCCCTGAAACATAGCAAAACAAAACAACATTCATTAAGATATAGCCCTGAAACAGCAAAACAAAACAACATTCATTAAGATATAGCCCTGAAACATAGCAAAACAAAACAACATTCATTAAGAGAAACAACAATAGAATTCCCTTCAGGTTGTTAAATCTATAATTGAAAGAAAAGGCGTAGAATTATACAACTGTGAATCAGCTCCAACCAAAACCTTGCCTATATTTTGATCTCTAAAATAATGAAGGATACTGTTGATGTGAGGTATTGGCCTTTAGTGGGTCAACTCATCTTTACACTGAACACCAACCAAACCACCAGTCATAGTATCTGTGATAGTACAGGAATACTCACAGAGCCTTCTGCCAGGGCTGAGATGACGTTGCCCAGTGAAGACAGAGACTTATTAATGTTCTTGGCCTCGTCCAGCACGGCTCCCTCCGCCCCAGTCTTACTGACCTGGGAAGAAAGAGACAGACAGGGACCGTCTGGTAAGATGGATGACTTGTACAGTGAAACACTTGCTGTGCACCAGAGGCCTTAATAATATATTGGCATGGGTCAAACATGTGGTCTGAGTGACATCATCTAACCATGTTCATCAGTCTTGATAATACCAACAGATTAGGCAACTGGGAAGCTCCGTTTCCCTCAGACAGCAGGCAGTTAGTAGAGTCTTGAGAGGCCAGATCAGGAAGTTATGACTCATACATGTTGTTGTTGTTGTTGTACCTTTTCTCTTCAAAAAAAGAAAAAGAAAAGCCTGCACACTGCTCTAGCCAGCCGGCTGTCTGCCTACATCAGAACAGGAAAGACCAGTGTGCAGGTTTCTCTTTTCATTGTTTTTAATCCCACGCACCTGCAATTAGCTAACCTCAGATGGGCTTTTCCTACCTTTTCACTTCCTGCCAGGTCGACGAGGTAGAGCTTTCCGCTGAGTTTCTGCTCTGTAGCAGTGTTCTCCTGCTTCACGTTGATCTGGAAGATACTGTGACTTCTGGAGCTGTGCTCATTCATGTCTGAGACAAGACAACAGGTCTGGGATCAGCGTTGATCAGTTAAAATATTAATACTGTGACTTCTGGAGCTTTGCCCATTCACGTCTGAGACAAGACAACAGATCTGGGATCAGCGCTGATCAGGCAGTTAGAATAATAATACACAAATAGAGACTGACTGTGTCTCAAATGGCACCCTATTCCCTACACCAACGAGAGCCCTCAAAAGTAGTGCACTATAAAGGGAATAAGGTGCCTTTTTGGGGAATTAAACATTTTCACTAATATGCACTAAACACAGAACGTATAATTATGAAGCGGAGTGGAGTACTGTTTCTTATTATATAAACACTAGCCTGGTTAGAGTTTATGGACCAGTCGCTTACGGTAACCAGAGCTCTGACACACGCATGATAATAGCCTGGATGCTAGATCTGTTTGTGCTTTCTTGCCAACTCCTTATGGAATTGTCATGCCAAATGTTTGGCGTGACAATGAGTTGGTGAGGAGAGCACAAACAGATCTGGGACCAGGCTAGCGTGAGAAACCGTTTAGCGTGTTAAACCATTTGGGTAATTATAACAAAATAATTGACCTATTGAGTTCAATGGGGCATATCGGCTAACATTGCACACGTCCCAAATGGTACACTATTCCCAAAGGGCTCTGATCAAAAGTAGTGCACTATAAAGGGAAAAGGGTGATATTTGGGACGGAGCCTTAGTGCAGTCTCTTACTTGTAACTGCTACATGTCTGTTAGATTTGCCTTCATCAATGGTGTCCATGACTTCCTCTGGGCTGCAGACAAATCTCTCAGTGCATCCCTGTGGACAAAAAAAAACGTATGATGTGACACCGGACCATCTTATAAACGGCATTTAGCAGACACTTTTATCCAAAGCGAGTTAGAGTAGTGCATTAATACATTTTAGTATCTTCAGAGCCTGTCGCTAAATTGTCAATGTCAGGTAACACCATGTTTTTTCTTATTAGGTGGCTGTAGTCTAACTCTGACGGTTTACTGGGTGAGTAACACAACGAGGATGGTAGTTCATCCCTGGATTAAAGACTCACCTTGACATAGGGAACTCTGTTTTTGTCTTCATGCACTGACAGGTTGGTCTTTGACACTGGAGAGAAAGAAACATGCAGCATAGTCAAGACTCTAGACCAGGGGTGTCAAACTCATTCCACGGAGGGCCGAGTGTCTGCAGGTTTTCACTCCTCCCTTGTACTCGATTGATGAATTAAGGTCACTAATTAGTAAAGGAACTCCCCTCACGTGGTGGTCAAGGTCTTAATTGAAAGGAAAAACCAAAAACCTGCAGACACTCGGCCCTCCATGGAATGAGTTTGACACCCCTGGTCTAGACTATTCTGGATAGTTATGGCTCCACAGCAGAAAGCCCGTCTTCTGCTTATAAATGGACATTTAACTAGCCATTTCAGTGTCATTGCGTGTGTGAAGAAACCTCATGCTCAAACTGGGTGAGGAAAATGTACGTAATGACCGATACAAATACAGCATGTTTACGGAGCAGTATGCAGACATTCTTTATCTTCAGTCAAAACATGAACAGGCTTTTAATTCCAATATCAGTAACAACATTTCCAGCTGATGTTTCTGAACACCACCATCCACCCTTTTCCTGTTTCAACATGCAACATTTCATTAATCAGCTCCTTTTAACAGATAGCTATGTAAACTAGCCAATTATCCACACCAGCATGGCCACCAGCCAAGAGGAGAGGCACGCTATACATGGCATGTCCCAAATGGCACCCTATTCCCTATGTAGTGCACTAGTTTTGACCAGGGCCCATAGGGCATTTGGGACACATGCTGTGTTCACTCTGCCTAAGACTTACTATCCAAGAGGTCCCGAATCTTGTCCAAGTAAATTTCATAATATGAAACCTGGAAAATAAGAGCAATCTCTCATTAGAAAGTATCCCACAGAGAGAAATCAATAGGTTTTAAAACCCTGTCAAGTATCCCACAGAGAGAAATCAATAGGTTTTAAAACCCTGTCAAGTAAAGTGATTCTGCCAAGTGTCTTTGAACTAGCTAAGGCAATTCAAGGTTAGCAAGCTGCCTACGCAGAGTAGGAAGAGTTGTTCTAATTGGATGAGAATAAGTCTGCGTCCAAATGGCAAACTATTCCCTACATAGTGCACTACTTTTGACCAGAAACCACAGGGCTCTGGTCAAAAGTATTGCACTATATAGGGAATAGGGTGCCATTTGGGACGCAATCAGAGAGATGAATTTGTAGAGTACTAGCCAGTAGCTACCTTGATGTGGAACTCTAGGTTCTCGTCCATAGAGTAGATGTAGTTAAAGATGTCCTGCACTATCCTGGGGATAATCCCCATCCCATCTGTGTCATGGAGGTTACCCTCCATCGTGTGGGTTTTGCCGGATGACGTCTGTCCGTATGCAAATATTGTCCCGTTGTACCCCTCCAGAACATCTGGAAGGAGAAGTTGAAGATGAAGAAGAATCCATATTAATCCATACGAGATGGAAATGTACCCAACCCCTCCGACACACACACACAAAGAAATCACACACACAAAAACACAGAAATACACACACACTCACACAAAGAAATAAACACACACACGTACAAAGAAATACACACACAGACACAGAAATACACACACACACACAAAGAAACACACACAATCACACAAAGAAATACACACAATCACACAAAGAAATACACGCACACACACAGAAATACACGCACACACACAGAAATACACGCACACACACAGAAATACACACACACACAAAGAAATACACACACACACACACACACAGACAGAAATACACACACAAAGAAATACACACACATACACAGAAATACACAGACAGACAGAAACCAAACAGCCTGATTGTAAGGAAGTAGTCACTGCATCAACTCCTCCTTCAGACCGACTTTCTCCTCAGGGGGGGTCTACTAAGCTATACGGAATTGTTTTAAGAAGGTCATACCAAGGATAATTTAGCTATTTCATTTTGAGCAATATAAGAAAGTTCAGGAAACATTTTTTAATTTATTTTTTATGTGTATTTAACAGTCTCCATATACAGTATATTTCCATAAAAAAATTTCAACTGGTACTGGGGAACCTTCACATGAGTCTTGTGAGGCCTGTGGGCTTCCTAGAGCAAAACAACTTGACATGTACATGTTCGTGAGAGTCTCACCTTTGCACAGATGGATCATATTAGTGTGTAGCCCAAAAGGTTCGGATGCTACAGACAGAAGTTGGCAGATCGGCTGTACCGACTTCAGACAAGTCTCCTGACACTTGTGGAGGTCGTAGAGCAAAACGGAGACCACCGTGGTGAGAGTCTCATCTCTCATAATAGGCCAAACCATTCAGGCGCTACAGACCATTTTGTGAGAAGACTGGTTTTCGGGACGTCTCATGGTCTGACAAACACCACTAGCTCTGTCAGCTTTCACCACAGATGTGGACAATGGCGGATGCGGTGGATTGAGACGCAGAGTGGTGTTTGTCAGACCATGAGACATATCTCTAGCTTAAACGGACACATTCTGATGGGGGATTTTTCTATTATGCTAATTACATTTCCGCAGGAGCGCGGACATCGACCTCAGGGGTTAACAAACATCTACAGTAGAACAGAGTGTTCATAAACAGTGTCTGAACAGAGCTCACCTTTGACGATCTTCTGGGCGCAGGCGTTGTATACTTGCTCCTGTGTCGTATTCGGCTGGAACACTCTGTCAAACTGGAACGGTTTGCTCTGCAAGCCAGAGAGAGACAGAGACAGACAGAGACAGAGAGAAATAAATTAGGGAATGAGTTTCACAACTTTCTGTCTGACATTCAATTTAAACACTTACATAAAGTGTCCCACAGTAAGGGGCTATACCCTGCAGATTAGCTATGTAAAGGTACTGCTCTCACTAGAACAGACAAGATACACATCTATTTGACAGAGACAGATCCTTATAATCACCAATAAAACACATTTTAGTAATTTAGCAGACGCTCTTATCCTGAGAAACTTACAGTAGTGAGTGCATACATTTTCGTACTGGTCCCCCGTGGGAATTGAACCCACAACCCTGGCGTTGCAAGTGCCATGCTCTACCAACTGAGCCTCACGGGACACCATATTAGTGTTAAAACATCACTGTGATCAGACACACACACACACACACACACACACAAATACATAAATAAACCCCTGGTGACCCTCCAGGCCTCCACAGCAACCCACAAATAAACCCCTGGTGACCCTCCAGGCCTCCACAGCAACCCAAGTTACATCCCTGTTAGATTAATTTGGATTTTAAGAATAATGACTAAAGGATTTCACCCCAAATACAGTATAAATGTTAGAATTATCATGTAGTGTCAACCCACTAACAGAGGGGGCGTTACTAAACATTCAAGGGGGAAGGCGGAAACTGTTTAGAAAAGCCAACTAAAGGTGGGAGGAGTCAAGTTCAGGAGGTATAAAATCGTATGTTTGTGTCTTTGGCGCCAGAGCTCTCCATGAATAAATATACAGATAATTACTTGTGGGTTGTGGACCTTGAATCATTGATGATTAAAACCAGAGCCTTACAACCTCTGGTAATGATTCAAGCTTAGGTTGAATTAGAGATAGACATTCACATGACAATCCCAAATTGCAACCTATTCCATATATAGTGCACTACTTTTGACTAGGGCCCATACAGGTCTGGTTAAAAGTAGTGCACCATATAAAGAAAAGGGTGCCATTTGGGACACAGACATGGCAGGACCAGGGAGGACCCTCAGAGGAGGGCTGAGCTGAGGGAGAGATCAAAGCACAGACCATTCTTTTCAGGGAAGTTAGGAACCAATATACACAAGCAGTTAGGAAAGCAAAGGCTAACTTTTTCAAACAGAAATTTGCATCCTGTAGCACTAAGTTTTGGGACACTGTAAAGTCCATGGAAAATAAGAGCACTTCCTCCCAGCTGCCCACTGCACTGAGGCTAGGAAACACTATCACCACCGATAAATCTACAATAATCGAGAATTTCAACAAGCATTTTGCTACGGCTGGCCATGCTTTCCACCTGGCTACCACTACCCCGGCCTCCAGCTCTGCACCCTCCGCTGCAACTTGCCCATGCCCCCCCCCCCGCTTCTCCTTCACACAAATCCAGACAGCTGATGTTCTGAAAGAGCTGCAAAATCTGGACGCCTACAAATCATCTGGGCTAGACAATCTGGACCCTTTCTTTCTAAAACTAGCCGCCGAAATTCTCGCAACCCCTATTACTAGCCTGTTCAACCTCTCTTTCGTAACGTCTGAGATCCCCAGAGATTGGAAAGCTGCCGCGGTCATCCCCCTCTTCAAAGGGGGTGACACTCTAGATCCAAACTGTTACAGACCCATATCCATCCTGCCCTGCCTTTCAAAAGTTTTTGAAAGCCAAGTTAACAAACAGATCACCGACCATTTCGAATCCCACCGTACCTTCTCCGCTATGCAATCCGGTTTCCGAGCTGGTCATGGGTGCACTTCAGCCACGCTCAAGGTCCTAAACGATATTATAACCGCGATCGATAATAGACAGTACTGTGCAGCCGTTTTCATTGACCTGGCCAAGGCTTTCGACTCTGTCAACCACCGCATTCTTATTGGCAGACTAAATAGCCTTGGTTTCTCAAATGACTGCCTCGCCTGGTTCACCAACTACTTCTCAGATAGAGTTCAATGTGTCAAATCGGAGGGCCTGTTGTCTGGACCTATGGCAGTCTCTATGGGGGTGCCACAGGGTTCAATTCTCGGGCCGACTCTTTTCTCTGTGTATATCAATGATGTTGCTCTTGCTGCTGGTGACTCTCAGATCCACCTCTATGCGGACGACACCATTTTGTATACATCTGGCCCTTCATTGGACACTGTGTTAACAAACCTCCAAACGAGCTTCAATGCCATACAACACTCCTTCAGTAGCCTCCAACTGCTCTTAAACACTAGTAAAACTAAATGCATGCTCTTCAACCGAACGCTGCTTGCACCCGCCCACCCGACTAGAATCACTACTCTCGACGGGTCTGACCTAGAGTATGTGGACAACTACAAATATCTAGGTGTCTGGTTAGACTGTAAACTCTCCTTCCAGACTCACATTAAGAATCTCCAATCCAAAGTTAAATCTAGAATCGGTTTCCTATTTCGCAACAAAGCCTCCTTCACTCATGCTGCCAAACATGCCCTCGTAAAACTGACTATCCTACCGATCCTTGACTTCGGCAATGTCATTTACAAAATAGCCTCCAACACTCTACTCAGCAAATTGGATGTAGTCTATCACAGTGCCATCCGTTTTGTCTCCAAAGCCCCATATACTACCCACCACTGTGACCTGTACGCTCTTGTTGGCTGGTCCTCACTACATATTCGTCGCCAAACCCACTGGCTCCAGGCCATCTATAAATCACTGCTAGGCAAATCCCCGCCTTATCTTAGCTCATTGGTCACCATAGCAACACCCACCCGTAGTATGCGCTCCAGCAGGTATATCTCACTGGTCATCCCCAAAGCCAACACCTCCTTTGGCCGCCATTCCTTCCAGTTCTCTGCTGCCAATGACTGGAACAAATTGCAAAAATCTCTGAAGCTGGAGACACTTATCTCCCTCACTAACTTTAAGCATCAGTTGTCAGAGCACCTTACCGATCACTGCACCTGAACACAGCCCATCTGAAATTAGCCCGCCCAACTACCTCATCCCTATATTGTTATTTATTTTGCTCATTTGTACCCCAGTATCTCTATTTGCACATCATCTCTTGCACATCTATCATTCCAGTGTTAATACTAATTGTAATTATTTTGCACTATAGCCTATTTATTGCCTTACCTCCATAACTTGCTACATTTGCACACACTGTATATATATTTATTTATGTTGTATTTTTGACTTTGTTTTGTTTTACCCCATATGTAACTCTGTGTTGTTGTTTTTATCACACTGCTTTGTGGTCCTCTGTAGCTCAGCTGGTAGAGCACGGCGCTTGTAACGCCAAGGTAGTGGGTTCGATCCCCGGGACCACCCATACACAAAAATGTATGCACTCATGACTGTAAGTCGCTTTGGATAAAAGCGTCTGCTAAATGGCATATTAATTAATATTAATTTATCTTGGCCAGGTCGCAGTTGTAAATGAGAACTTGTTCTCAACTGGTTTACCTGGTTAAATAAAGGTGAAATAAAAAAATAAATAAAAAAATAATTCTAATGAGATGGCGTGAAGTCAACCACACAGGTTGTGAAACTGATGTTATAGCCACTGTAGCAGTTCAGCCTGAACAACTAGCTACATGGGCCCTATTGCATCTCTGAACTTCTAGGCAGTTTGAAGACCAGGAGCCATCTGTATCAAGCGTCTCAGAGTAGGAGTACTGATCTAGGATCAGTTTAGCCTTTTAGATCACAATGATTAAGATTACATGGACAGGGAGGACCTGATCCTAGATCAGTACTCCTACTCTGAGATGCTTGATACATGAGACCCCAGATCCGTCTGTTTAAAAACATTTCTCTCCCCCCCTCCCTATCCAACAGACATGGACCACTCACAGACATATCAGATCAGACCATTGGCCTGAGCTGGAGGGGGGGACCAGACCATTGGCCTGAGCTGGGGGGGGGGACCAGACCATTGGCCTGAGCTGGAGGGGGGGACCAGACCATTGGCCTGAGCTGGAGGGGGGGATCAGACCATTGGCCTGAGCTGCATGTGTGACAACACCTATATGAATAAGTAAACACCCCGCCCCCTCTCCCTCTCCTCCTCCTCCTCTTACATCAATTCAGCACAGTAGAACAGCGAAAGGCAAATCTGGGTTTGTGCTCCGACAAGCCCCTCTATTCAGGAGACCAGCTATAACTCTGCCCACTGCTCAGAACCACAGAGTTATCTGTACAGGACATCACCTGACCTGGCCCACTGATCAGTCACAAGATGGGGTACAGCCAGCCACAACACAACATAGCCAGACTGACACTGGAGTACTGACAACATTAGGCTGGGCCCGTCCTCACTATCACTAGTACAGCCCAAGTTCAAAGTGATGACACAGTGAAACCATTGTTCTAGTCTTTCACAGACACTACTACTAGCTTCTTGGTCTGCCTTGGGAAAATCTGATTTGTCTAGAATGTACAAACACTTCTATTGAATAGGCCAGTGATAAATCCAAGATCACCCAAAGAGCAAAATAAACAGCCACAGGGGGGTGGAAGTGCTTTAGCCAACTGGATTTCCCCCCCTATAGACTATGTATTTGCTAAGAAATAGAATGGTAATAACTACCAGAAAAGTATATACCCAGTTTAAAATCAAATCCTCGTGGAAGCATCTCTCTCATCTCTCCTCTTCCCTCCCTCCCTCCCTCTCTCACTCCTCTTCTCTTTCCTCCCTCCTCTCCTCTTCTCTTCTCTTCTCTTTCCTCCCTCCCTCCTCTCCTCTCCTCTTCTCTTTCCTCCCTCACTCCTCTCCTCTTCTCTTTCCTCCCTCACTCCTCTCCTCTTCTCTTCCCTCCCTCACTCCTCTTCTCTTCCCTCACTCCTCTTCCTCTCCTCTTCTTCCCTCCCTCCCCTTCTCTTCCCTCCCTCCCTCAGTCCTCTTTCCTCCCACTCTTCTCCACCTATCTTCTGTTAGTTTCCACTGCTGAAGCTAAAAGTAGCACACTCTCACGGTGCTGTGTGTGAGTGTGTGTGTGTGTGTGTGTGTGTGTGTGTGTGTGTGTGTGTGTGTGTGTGTGTGTGTGTGTGTGTGTATATCTGTATGGAGATAGTGGAATCATGTGACAGCATCCTACCCTGGGAGGCTGACGTGATCGCTCTCTCTGTGTGAGCAGCACCAGCAGCCTGACTGACAGTCAAGCCTGAATAATTCACTTGTGCATTTGCTATTCTAGATCTAGTGAACTACTCTCTCTCTCTGCCTCATCTGAGATGGATGGAAGACTGTTAGTTTAGTTTCTTCCATCTCCAGTGCTGTACCAAGCTGACTGAGATTGTCGAGGCTACATTCTGGTGATGTATAGTTGAATGGTTAAGGTTCAGTACTGCATATCAGGACTGAGAGAAGTCAAAACATACAGTATGTTCAAGGTTCCAGGTGTAAGCATCATCTGTCCCTCCATCTCATCTCCCCTGGTTTGCACTGTGCCAAGAACATCAGAGCAGAGATAACTGTCTGTGTGGTACTTGTCCCAAGCCTAGGGAGTGGACAGATATTGCCGTTGAGGTTTTAATATTTATACAATGGATTATTTCAAATAGATACAAAATATGAGCTAAGTGAGTTAGGGTCAGTCACTCTGGATAAGTGCATTCATGAAACAAACAGGAATAATTATAATAATAATAATAATCACTAGCCAGCCCCACAAACCCAGAGGAATCACACAGCCGCGCCCGACAGAACCCTCTCTGATTGGTGGAACAGCTGGTTGCCAGGAGAAAGACAAGGGGATTACCCAGGGGGCCAGTGGTGTGTGTGTGTGTTTGTGTGTGCGATTGGACAGAGAGAGAGAGGCCTAAGCTCTGATCCTACCACTAGCTGATGATACGCTGGGAAAGTGATGACATCACAAGCCCTGAAAATCTCAAAAAAACAAGCCCTGGAGTAAAACATAACTTTCTATGGCTATATAATGTTAGATTACTGGAGACAACCATCACTTTCTACGGCTATATAATGTTAGATTACTGGAGAGAACCATCACTTTCTTTGGCTATATAATGTTAGAAATGGGCCAAGTTCCATTATGCCAGCTCAGATCCACCCCTGGCCCAAATATAGACTATGTATCCACACTGACCATCCCTTTCAGTGGCCAATGGCCATGATGTCATCATACTGTGTTTCCCATGAATGATGACGTAATTCTTTATTCAGCCTCCTAATCTAGGCCAAGTCCTATAGCGTGTTATTGTATAGGTAGTGTTGTGTATAGTGGTGCTGTGTACTACCCACATTTAAAATATAGACACTGACTGTGTTGAAAGGGAGGTTGAGGTTGAAGATGAGCAAGGACATGCCATCAGTGCCAATAAGTTACAGAACTACAACTTCTTACTATTTGTAGCCTACCATAAACCTTTATAGACTTGATTATGTTGGCTTTGGTGAGGTGTGTCCAGACCACGGCATCAAAGTCCTTGGCTCTGTTTGAACACTGACAAAGGGAGGTCATGCCACATCTAGTGCTTATTCTCTTCTGGCCTACAGTGCAAATATGGGAAGATGGCATGATATGACATGTACAGACAGTTCTTTTCAAACCAATTTCCCCACAGATCAAGAAAAGAAGGGATTATGTCTAAAGAGAACAATATAACATTTTTGTTCGTTTTTTTAAACTTCAAGCACCACTGTGTGGAATGCATTTCCTTCTTTTGTCATAACAGAGTAGCGCCCATTTCATTATCCTTATCGGGTGTCAAGGGTGCATCCCAAATGGCACCCTATTCCCTATATACATCCCATAGGGCTCTGTTCAAAAGTAGTGCACTACATAGGGAATATAGTGCCATTTGAGTGCAGACATTGGACTACATTCCAAGATGACTAAAGAAAACAAACAAACTGCAATTTCCTGAATCCACTTAGTAATGGACCAGTGGTGTAACCTTAACCAGATATTTTCAGAGATAACAACTAATGTAGCTACCTTAGTGTACTTCACTAACTTGAAGAAATGTATGTCACTACCTGCCTTTATAACAACATGAACAAACATTGTAGCTACAGACTGTACAAACATCTACTAACGTAACGGTGGTTATTAATGAATTACATGTCTGGTTTCATGAATTCTGCTCCTCATACAGTAACGTTACTTAGCTAACGTTAGTCTTGTAATTTACCGCACAACAGTCTTGGTTTGACTAGCTAAAATAAATAAACCAGGCCCATAGGGCAATCATCAGCTGGCTTGTTAGTGATCGTGTTGATGAAACAGCTAGTTAGCTATATAGCTAGCTTATATTCAATTCTGCACCATCTTTGCTGCTGGGTATAGCTAACGTTAGGCCAGCTAATCTGCCACTGCCATCTCAGCTGGCCAAGCGTTAGCTAAATTAGATAGCTAGACATTTCAAACATTGCATGATTGGAAAGCTAGCTAACTAAATGAACTCCCAGCAGGTGTTGAGTGTTAACTCGAAAATGATGAGAATTTATTTTGAACGCAACGTTAACTCATGTTGTTGGCAGATGACGTTGGTGGTACTGTAACGAACGTTAGTTAGCTAGCTAAAGTTAGCTAGCACTTGCCTGTCATTGTTGGATGACAATTGACTGACCAGCTACAGTAGCTACCTGAAACGGCAATATTAGTTCATTGCGACGACAAAGTTGACGCGGCAAATCAGAGAGATACAACTAGCTAACTATACAAACTTGACTGGCTACCAATTGTTATCCATAAATAGTGTCCTGTTCCGATCGGTGTTAGTGTGGGTGAGCTAGCTTATTGCTAACGTTAACGCTACACAGCTGATGTAGGTGGACAGGTAGGTCAGTTAGCCAGCTAGCTAGCTACGCTAACGTAACTAGTGACACTGCTGGCGGATCTGATCACCATGCCAATGGCGCAGCGCAGACTGTCACAGAGGGCACTTGCTTGCAGACAAAGAAATATTGCAAACCAACTTACCCCGACGACCACATGGTCTTCCCCTTGAAACTTGGGTATGTATTTGTCCCCTCTGGCCACCTCTGAACTGTTTAAGGGCCTGAAACGGCACATCACTTTGATGGTGCACTCCGCCGGTACGTCGGCCATCTTCCACGATTTATGGATGTAAACTCACAATAAAAACACTGTAGATCCTCGTTCTAGAGGCGGTCGGGGGAGAGAAGAGGGCGGCCCGGCCCCTCAGTCCCAATATGAGACTAGAATGGGCTCAGATATTCAACAATGAATGGCTATTTTCTTCTAGGGTGTGCTAAAAACACTTCCTCTCCAATGTGGAAGCCATGATGCCGGTGGATCACTGCTGGCTTGCTCACCCCCTCTGTCTGTGGGACCAATAAACCAAATTACGTCACCCTAAATCGTCAACACTCCCTATGATGTAGCTACACTATCCGGACTGGTCAATTATGTTTCTGCAAGTTCATGCCATTGACCTACATAAATTAATATACTATGGAATAATCAATCAATAGACTAATTATTGAGATCAGTTATTACTTAGCTATTACTCATGCATGAAGAGATAATGTGGGCTTTTCTTGATGGCAATGCATGGTTATTGATTATCCAGTATTCCCTCAGATTACATGAATAATACTAATGTGGAGTTTAGTAAAGAATATGCACCCCTTCACTTTTTTCCACATTTTGTTGGGTTACAGCCTGAATTTGAAATGGAGATTTTGTGTCATTGGCCTACACACAATACCCCATAATGTCAAAGTGGAATTATGTTTTTATAAATTTTTACAAATTAATTAGAAATGAAAATCTGAAATGTCTTGAGTCAAGAAGTATTCAACCCCTTTGCTATGGCAAGTCACATAATAAGTTGCATGGACTCACTCTGTGTGCAATAATAGTGTTCAACATGGTTTTTGAATGACTACCTCATTTCTGTACCCCACACATACAATTATCTGTAAGGTCCCTCAGTTGAGTAGTGAATTTCAAACACAGATTCAACCACAAAGACCAGGGAGGTTTTCCAATGCCTCGCAAGGAAGGGCACCTATTGGTAGATGGGTATTGTTTTATTTTTTTAAGCAGACATTCAATATCCCTTTGAGCATGGTGAAGTTTTTAATTACACTTTGGATGGTGTATCAATACACCCAGTCACTCCAAAGATACAGACGTCCTTTCTAACTCAGTTGCAGGAGAGGAAGGAAACCGCTCAGGGATTTCAACATGAGGCCAATAGTGACATTAAAACAGTTACAGTGTTTAATGGCTGTGATAGCAGAAAACTGAGGATGTATCAACAACATTGTAGTTACTCCACAATACTAACCTAAATGACAGAGTGAAAAGAAGGAAGCCTGTACAGAATAAAATATTCTAAAACATGCATCCTGTTTGCAATAAGGCACTAAAGTAAAACTGCAAAAATGTGGCAAAGAAATTAACTTTATGTCCTGAATACAAAGTGTTATGTTTGGGGCAAATCCAACACAACACATCACTGAGTACCAGTCTTCATATTTTCAAGCATGGTGGTGGCTGCATCATGTTATGGGTATGCTTGTCATCGGCAAGGACTAGGGAGTTTTTCTAGTATAAAAACAAATGGAATAGAGCTAAGCACAGGCAAAATCCTAGAGGAAAACCTAGTTCAGTCTGTTTTCCTATGTGTATGTTACACTGGGAGACAACTTCACCTTTCAGCAGGACAATAACCTAAAACACAAGGCCAAATATACACTGGAGTTGCTTACCAAGACGACATTGAATGTTCCTGAGTGGCCTAGTTACAGTTTTGATTAAAATCGGCTTGAAAATCTATGGCTGTCACACCCTGGTTCGGGGACTCATTATGTTGAACCAGGGTGTGTTCATTCTATGTTTTCGGTTTCTCTGGTGGGTGTTCTAGGTGGTTTATTTTCTATGTTTGCCGGTGTGACTCCCAATCAGAGGCAAACGAGTGTCAGCTGTCGGCTGTTTGTCTCTGATTGGGAGCCATATTTAATCTATCTGTTTTCCTTTCGGGTTGTGGGATTTTGTTCGTGTTGTACACTGGACGTCACGCTTTCGTTGTTGATTGCATTTAATAAATATAATATGTTCACTCGCAACGCTGCGCCTTGGTCTCCTGTTCTAGACGATCGTGACAGAAAATCCCACCAGTACCAGACCAAGCAGCGTGAGGAGGAGAAAGGAAGGACCTGGGATCAGGGGAGTAGGAGTTTCGGCTGGGCCACGCTAAATGAAGAGGAGAGAGGCTGGTCGATGAAGCAATGGATCGAGAGTCTGACGAGAGCTAGGGAGGCCTGGTCCACGGGGAGGAGAGAACCCCAGAAAATTTTTAGGGGGGGGCTCACGACGGGGCAGCAGGAGGCCGCGATGGAGCGGTCCAGCGGGTGTGAAGAGGAGGCCGCCAGGTTGAGGGGGCCACTGGTCACAGAGGAGAGGGATAGTGTGGAGGCACGGCGAGAGGTACTGGGGTGTGTGTCCAGTCCGGTCCGGCCCGTTCCTGATCTCTGCGTGGGGCCAGTGGTGTGTGTCTCCAGTACGGGCCGGCCTGGTCCTGTTCCTCGCATCGTGCCGGTGGTGCGCGTTGCCAGCCCGGCCCGGCCTGTTCCTGCTCCCCGCACCAAGTCTGTGGTGCGTTTCGGCCGCCCGGATCGGCCCGTTCTTGCTGTCCACACCAAGCCAGTGGTGTGCGTCGTCAGTCCGGCACGGCCCGTTCCTGCTCTCCGCACCGAGTCTGTGGTGCGCGTCGCCAGCCCAGTCCGGCCCATCCAAGCTTCCCGCACCAAGTCTGTGGTGCGTCTCGTCAGCCCTGTCCGGCTCGTTCCTGCTCTCCGCACCAAGTCGGTGGTGTGCGTCGCCAGCCCATTCCGGTCCATTCCTGCTCCACGCACCAAGCCAGGGGCGCGTGTCGTCAGTCCGGCTCCGGCCAGCGGGGCTAGACGGGACCGGGGGTACTTTGGGGGGTTGGAGAGGGAGTGGGGATCAGGCCCGGAGCCGGAGCCGCCGCCGAGGAAGAATGCCCACCCAGCCCTCCCCTGTTTTGCTCGTATTTAGGCGCGGTCACAGTCCGCGCCTTTAGGGGGGGGTACTGTCACACCCTGGTTCGGGGACTCATTATGTTGAACCAGGGTGTGTTCATTCTATGTTTTCGGTTTCTCTGGTGGGTGTTCTAGGTGGTTTATTTTCTATGTTTGCCGGTGTGACTCCCAATCAGAGGCAAACGAGTGTCAGCTGTCGGCTGTTTGTCTCTGATTGGGAGCCATATTTAATCTATCTGTTTTCCTTTCGGGTTGTGGGATTTTGTTCGTGTGTGTTCGTGTTGTACACTGGACGTCACGCTTTCGTTGTTTATTGCTTTTGTTGTTGTGAGCATTTAATAAATATAATATGTTCACTCGCAACGCTGCGCCTTGGTCTCCTGTTCTAGACGATCGTGACAATGGCAAGACTTGAAAAGCAGTTGATCAACAACCAACTTGACAGAGCTTGAAGAATTAAAAAATAATAATAATGTGCAAATATTGTACAATCCAGGTGTGCAAAGCTCTTACAGAATTACAGCTGTAATCGATTCCAAAGTTGAATTTAACATGTATTGACTCAGGAGTGTGATACTTATGGAAATTAGATAATTCTGTTTCAAAAAACATGTGTTCACTTTGTCATTATGGGGTATGTGTGTAGATGGGTGAGAATGTTTATTTATTTAAACCATTTTGAATTCAGGCTGTAACAACAACATGTGGAATAAGTCAAGGGGTATGAATACTTTCTGAAGGCACTGTATGTAATATAGAAACATGAGATTACTTTCTACATCATTCCCTGTAGACTTATAGACTCTCTGTTTATAGCCTCCTCTCTCTCACAACATATGACACAATGGAGAAATGCCAGGATAGTGTTTGAGCAGATTCCCTGGCTGCTGCTATCTGGAATAGCAAAGGATGACATATTTTTTTTTTAAATCTCTCAGCTCATTTAAATACTAGATCGACTCTGTTTATTTTCTTAGAGTGAGAGTGAATTAATGGTTGTGGTGGAGATAGATTGGATCACAGTCACTATTGTCACTAGGAAACAGAGGAGTCCCCAGGCTTAAACAGTGTCTCAAATGTCCCTATATACAGTGGGGGGAAAAAGTATTTAGTCAGCCACCAATTGTGCACGTTCTCCCACTTCAAAAGATGAGAGAGGCCTGTAATTTTCATCATAGGTACACGTCAACTATGACAGACAAAATGAGAAAAAAAAATCCAGAAAATCACATTGTAGGATTTTTAATGAATTTATTTGCAAATTATGGTGGAAAATAAGTATTTGGTCAATAACAAAAGTTTCTCAATACTTTGTTATATACCCTTTGTTGGCAATGACACAGGTCAAACGTTTTCTGTAAGTCTTCACAAGGTTTTCACACACTGTTGCTGGTATTTTGGCCCACTCCTCCATGCAGATCTCCTCTAGAGCAGTGATGTTTTGGGGCTGTCGCTGGGCAACACAGACTTTCAACTCCCTCCAAAGATTTTCTATGGGGTTGAGATCTGGAGACTGGCTAGGCCACTCCAGGACCTTGAAATGCTTCTTACGAAGCCACTCCTTCGTTGCCCGGGCGGTGTGTTTGGGATCATTGTCATGCTGAAAGACCCAGCCACGTTTCATCTTCAATGCCCTTGCTGATGGAAGGAGGTTTTCACTCAAAATCTCACGATACATGGCCCCATTCATTCTTTCCTTTACACGGATCAGTCGTCCTGGTCCCTTTGCAGAAAAACAGCCCCAAAGCATGATGTTTCCACCCCCATGCTTCACAGTAGGTATGGTGTTCTTTGGATGTAACTCAGCATTCTTTGTCCTCCAAACACGACGAGTTGAGTTTTTACCAAAAAGTTATATTTTGGTTTCATCTGACCATATGACATTCTCCCAATCCTCTTCTGGATCATCCAAATGCACTCTAGCAAACTTCAGACGGGCCTGGACATGTACTGGCTTAAGCAGGGGGACACGTCTGGCACTGCAGGATTTGAGTCCCTGGCGGTGTAGTGTGTTACTGATGGTAGGCTTTGTTACTTTGGTCCCAGCTCTCTGCAGGTCATTCACTAGGTCCCCCC